GTCCGGACACTTTTACCCCCTTCCTGTCCAGGCCAATTTTCAGCTTTCGGCGCTCTCACATTGTGAATGACAATTACTCAGGCATACAACACTGTATCTAAATGAAATTATTATCATTTTTTTCAAACAAATAGAGCTTTAATTTGGTGGTATTTAATCATCACTAGGGTTTTTATTTTTTGCTAGAAAAATGAAAAAAGACTGAAAATTTTGAAAAAAAACATGTTTTTCTTAGTATTTGATACTAAATTTTGCAAATAAATATACTTTCTTCATAAATTTAGGCCAAAATCCATTGTGCTACATTTTTGTTGGTAGACATAACCCAAATCAGTGTGTATTATTTAGTCTTTGTGAAAGTTATAGAGTCCACAGACCACGGTATATATATTTGATATATTTGAAAATGTATCAATCCTGATGCACGGACTACCTATATAATTTCTTGGGGCCCTAAAATGCCAGGACAGTAGAAATACCCCCCAAACGACCCCTTTTTGGAAAGTAGACAGTCTGAGGTATTTAATGAGGGGCATGGGAAGTTTTTTGAAGTTGTCATTTTTTGCCAATTTTTTAAGGAAATGATGAAAGTAAAAAAAATTCTTTTTTTTTTTCCCACAAAGTTGTCATTTAACAAGTTCTTTCTCTCACACAGCATAGGCATACTTGCAATTACACCCCAAAACACATTCTGCTACTCATCCTGAGTATGGCGATACCACATGTGTAAAACATTTTCACAGCCTAACCACATAGAAGGGCCCCACATCCAATAAGCACCCTTAGGCGTTCTAGGGGCAAAAATTACACATCTAATTTCTTGACTACCTATTGCCGTTTTGGAGGTCCTGGAGCATCAGGGCAATGGAATTATCCACAAAATGACCCCATTTTGGAAAGCAAACACCCCAAGGTATGTTTTAAGAGGCATGCAGAGTCTTCTGAAGACTTCATTTTTTGCCACAAGTTTTTGGAAAATGCGAAAAGAAAATGAAAATGTATTTTTTTTTCTACACAAAGTTGTCAATCTATGAGATATTTCTAATACACTGCATAGGCATACTTAAAATTACACCCCAAAACGCATTCTCTAACTCTTCCTGAATATGGTGATACCAAATGTGTGAGACTTTTTCACAGTCTGGCCACATAGAGGGGTTCCACATCCAATAAGCACCTGTTAGCGTTCTAAGGGCAAAGATCGCACATCTAATTTCTTAACTACCTATTGCTGTTTTGGAGGTCCTGGAGCATCAGGACAATGGAATTATCCATAAAAAGACCCCAATTTGGAAAGCAAACACCCCAAGGTATGTTTTAAGTTCTCCGTCACTCTCATCTGTCATACTCAGAATTTGAAATGCCTCCTCGCTTGTATATGATCTTTTGGCCATATTTTTGACACTGATCAGGACCCACTGGTATGGCAGTGATCAGGCTGGTGTTGCAGTGAGGGACAGATATCTGGCTGCAGTTGGTTCACACTAGTCACTGTTGGGCAAAAATCAGAGATACAGTGAGGTGGCTGGCAATGTTTTGTGAGTGTGTGTAAACTCTGTGCAAAGGCTGAAAATTACTCACAGTTAGCTGTACTGGATCTCTCTCCTCACAGACGATGGCAGTGAACAGGATCCACTGGTGTGGCAGAGATCAGGGACACTTTATGAACAGGCACACTGTAAGGTGATCAGGGACACTGATTGGGCCACTGTATGGTGATCAGGGACACTGCTGGGCCACTGCGGTGATCAGGGACACTGCTGGGCCACTTGTGTGGCGATCAGGGACACTGTGGCAATCAGGGACACTGTGGCGATCAGGGACACTGCTGGACCACTTGTGCGGCGACCATGGACACTGCTGGGCCACTGCGATGATCAGGACACTGCTGGGCCACTTGTGTGGCGATCAGAAACACTGCTGGGCAACTGCGGTGATCAGGGACACTGCGGTGATCAGGGGCACTGCTGGACCACTTGTCCGGCGATCAGGGACACTGCTGGCCACTTGTGTGGTGATCAGGGACACTGCTGGGCCACTTGTGTGGTGATCTGGGCCACTGCGGCAATCAGGGACACTGCGGTGATCAGGGACACTGCTGGACCACTTGTGCAGCAATCGGGGACACTGCGGTGATCAGGGACACTGCTGGGACACTGCGGCGATCAGGGACACTGCTGGACCACTTCTGCGGCGATCAGGGACACTGCTGGGCCACTGCGATGATCAGGACACTGCTGGGCCACTTGTGTGGCAATCAGAAACACTGCTGGACTACTGCGGTGATCAGGGACACTTCGGTGATCAGGGGCACTGCTGGACCACTTGTCCGGCGATCAGGGACACTGCTGGGCCACTTGTGTGGTGATCAGGAACACTGCTGGGCCAATGTGGGGATCAGGGACACTGCTGGCCAATTGTGTGGTGATCAGGAACACTGCTGGGCCAATGCGGTGATCAGGGACACTGCTGGGCCACTTGTGTGGTGATCAGGAACACTGCTGGGCCAATGCGGTGATCAGGGACACTGCTGGGCCACTTGTGTGGGTCAGGGACACTGCTGGGCCACTGTGGCAATCAGGGCCACTGCGGCGATCAGGGACACTGCTGGGACCACTTGTGCGGCAATCAGGGACACACTGCGGTGATCAGGGACACTGCTGGGCCACTGTGGTGATCAGGGACACTGCTGGACCACTTGTGGGCAATCGGGGACAATGCTGGGTTACTTGTGCGGCGATCAGGGACACTGCTGGGCCACTTGTGTGGCGATCAGGGACACTGCTGGGCCACTTTTGCGGCAATCAGGGACACTGTGGCGATCAGGAACACTGCTGGACCACTTGTGCGGCAATCAGGGACACTGCGGTGATCAGGGACACTGCTGGGCCACTGCGGCGATCAGGGACACTGCTGGACCACTTGTGCGGCAATCAGGGACACTGCGGTGATCAGGGACACTGCTGGGCCACTGTGGTGATCAGGGACACTGCTGGACCACTTGTGCGGCAATCGGGGACAATGCTGGGTTACTTGTGCGGCGATCAGGGACACTGCTGGGCCACTTGTGTGGTGATCAGGGACACTGCTGGGCCACTGCGGCAATCAGGGACACTGCGGCAATCAGGGACACTGCTGGACCACTTGTGCGGCAATCAGGGACACTGTGGCGATCAGGAACACTGCTGGACCACTTGTGCGGCAATCAGGGACACTGCGGTGATCAGGGACACTGCTGGGCCACTGCGGCGATCAGGGACACTGCTGGACCACTTGTGCAGCAATCGGGGACACTGCGGTGATCAGGGACACTGCTGGGTCACTGCGGCAATCAGGGACACTTCTGGGCCACTTGTGTGGCAATCAGGGACACTGCTTGGCCACTGCGGTGATACTGCTGGGCCACTTGTGTGACGATCAGGGACACTGCTTGGCCACTGCGGCGATCAGGGATACTGTGACGATCAGGGACACTGTGGCGATCAGGAACACTGCTGGGCCACTATGTGGTGATCAGGGACACTGACAATCAGGGACACTGCTGGGCCACTTGTTGGGTGATCAGGGCCACTTGTGGGCAATCAGGGCCACTTGTGGGCGATCAGGACCACTTGTGGGCGATCAGGGCCACTTGTGGGGATCAGGGCCACTTGGGGCAATCAGGGCCACTTGGGGGCAATCAATCACTTTGTGGGGGCCACAGGGCCACTTGTGGGGGCAATCAGGGCCACTTGTGGGGGCAATCAGGGACACTATGTGGGGGCGATCAGGGCCACTTGTTGGCGATCAGGACCACTTGTGGGCAATCAGGGCCACTTGGGGCAATCAGGGCCACTTGGGGCAATCAGGGCCACTTGTGGGGGCAATCAGGGACACTTGTGGGGGCAATCAGGGCCACTTATTGGGGTGATCAGGGACACGTGGGGCAATCAGGGCCACTTTAGGGGCGATCAGGGCCACTTTAGGGGCGATCAGGTGTCACTGAGGTGGAGGGCAGTTAGCTACAACCCTCTTCTTCGCTGTTTCTCCTCTCACAGACAACTCCGTGAGAGGAGAAGGAGGCGGAAGCCGCACCATGCGGCTTTTGTTTACACTTAAGCTGTGTCCTTATTGGACACAGCTGATCACATGGTATGGGACCGATTTCATTGGTCCCATACCATGTCACGTAATCCATCGTGTCCGTCGGACTCGGCGATCATCGGGCTCGCGGGTGCGCGCTCTAGGAGCCTTGCACGAGCCTCACATACAAGGTGCCGTTTAGAGACGGCAACCCGCTCCTGTAGGTGTCCCGTCCTGCCGTTTATAAACAGCGGCCGGACGGGAAGTGGTTAAACAAGCATTATTGGGCTTTTAGCAAGCTTTAGAATAGCGTTCGCATTGTTGAAAGCTCCCTAAAAGCTTGTTTAAAACTGCAGGCAGGACTCCCTTTAAGGTTTGAATGGAACACTTCTAAACCAGAGGTAAAGGTGGCTTTAGAGCTTTATGGGCATTTCCCGCACCACATTGCAATCGCATTGCGTCCGTGCGATCTGGTACGGGTGTCAATGTTAAATTAACAATACCTGAAACAGATTTCAAAACACAGTACGATTACCAGAATTCGCATTGCAAGGGTGTGAACACCCATGCAATGCAAATCAGGTGTGGGGGAAAAAAATGGTCCTGCACCTTTCTGGTGCAGAAGAGATGCGATCTGAGACATACAAAATGTGCGGCTAAAATAGCACCACACAGACATCGCATGTGATTTGCGCAGGTTCCAGTGCGAATCACATGCAATGTGCCCAAACACAATAGTGTGAACCAGGGCTTAGTGAATCTTTAAATAAATTATCATTGCAGACCAGAATTGACCCTTAGACGGACCTTTGAGCTATAAAGTATATTTTCCTTTCCAGCAATCCAAAATCAACAGCTTTTCAAGAGAAGGATATAAACCAGATAATATAAAGGGAGACGTAGAATTCAGAAATGTGCATTTCTCCTATCCATCAAGAATGACTGTTCAGGTAAGGGATATTTAAATCAAAGTGCTCCTTGGTCATGTTTCATCATATTAGTACTTCATCTGGGAGTTGATGGCTACTTTTATTTATTTTGTAATTTTATAATTAAACACAGATTGAGGAAATTTCATCTATCCTATCCTTATGATAGAGGCAGATAGTAAATGCATTGTGGAAAATGGTAGATGTAAAAATGTATTTGGGAAATAGGTAAAACTGTGGGCCCCTATAGCACACTGCTGCTGATAACTCTGTACCAAGGCTCCTTGGGTAGGCAAAGGAAGGGTCTTTCAGCAGCCTAATACAAAGCTACTTCAAATTTACAACCTCTCTACACATACATGCAAAGGAATGAACAAAATTCTAGATATCATTAGAGACAAGTTATAACTACAAACTGGGTGAATAGATGGTGATCCTATCTGTTGGTGATGGTGATCTGATAATCAAAATTTATAAGGCTTATAGATGCTTTAGTTATGACAGATTGATGGCGGCCAGCATCATCAGTATATCTTGTATACACTACCTACACTACCTATCCAGAACATAATGAAACGTCTGATAATAGAGCCAGAAAGGAGCTCTATCCCATGGGCCTTAGGGTAATACAGAGATAGTTCTAACATTCAATCCCCACTGCATATCACAGTCCCCTCCTCATTCACAGCAATATCCCTCTTGATGGATGTCCTCAGCTCCCCCTTTTCATCACCCCCCTCCACCCCTTTCACAGTAGTGTTCTCTCACTTCCTTGACATCAACTCCCCCCCCCCCCCAATAGTACTGTCCTCTGCCCTCTTCACTGAAGAGTACTCTGCCCCTTTTTACATCACCCCCCCACATTGTCCTGAGCCCCCCCCATGTTGCTGTCCTCACCCCCCATGTTACTGTCCCCAGACCCCTCCCATGTTACTGTCCTCAGCCCCCACATTACTGTCCATGGCACCCCCCCCCCATGTTATTGCCCTCAGCCCCCCACATTACTGTTCTCAGCCCCCCACGTTACTATCCTCAGCCCCTCCCACTTTAATCTCCTCAGCCCCCACACACCACAGTCCTTAGCTCCCACATTACTGTCCTCAATCCTCCTTCACACTAATGTCCTTAGCCTCTTTAACTTTGCCCCCCCCCCCCCACTGTCCTACCTTACACAGACAGTGATTGACAGACAGTGATTGATTGCTAGGATTGCCCTTCATCCAAGCAACCAATCACCTGCTTGTTAACCTCAGGCAACTCCCACCCTCCATCCAGAACTGTCCTGCCTCCCACTGTCAGCTCCGTGAGGATGAATGTGAGACAGCTGGGGGAAGAAAAGGCTCTTAAATGGCAGGACTGCATGGGTCTGGATGGGACGGTGACTCGGTCCGCATCCAGCCCTTAGTCTGCCGTTCAGTGATGCCTGCTTTACTGTATATACAGACTGATTTTACTGTTGTGGGTTTAGTAATAAAGTTTGCATAAAATGTCTCTGGTGCTTACCCTCAATTGCTCTCCCTGAACTGTTTGGTACATATCTGCTTTTGAAAAAATTCCTAGTGATCAGATGCTGCTTTCTTTTCATATGAAAGATAAATATGTCCACCACCAGCACCAGATGCATGTAGATAAGATTTCTACATCAGCTCTCTGGGACTTCAGACTCCTTCTACAATTTGGTTCTTCACTCTACAGTTCTGAGCAGGGGCGGACTGACCATTTGGAAACTCGGGCACTGCTCGAGGGCCCAGGGTCAGTAGGGGGGCCCATGAGATGCCCCTGGTACCTTTTTCATAGGCTTTTTTGAGTTTGCACAAGGACAAAGGGGCCCCAGGATCCCCTATTGCCTGGGGGCCCAATGCGTTGTCAGTCCGCCCCTGGTTCTGAGCCTTTTATGATCCCTCTACATTGCTCTCCTGCAACCAACCTTTCATTGACTTGTTCCAAGGGAATAGGAGAGACCATGAAAATGACAATAGGATACAAAGTCAATCTGATATGTACATAGAGCACAAATTATAAACCTTTTTTTAAAAAATGTTAAAAAATTAATTTTTAATATTTTGAGATGCCCATGAGATAGTAGCATACTGCCCTTTGAGTCACATCCCTGAGGACATTTATCTGAGAACCCCAGAACTACATGTGCTTTGCTGCAGAAAACCAAGTACCATCTCTTCAAAACTTTGTATGTACCGTTAATATAAATTTTTACATAGCAAGCCACATGTGGGATCTGTCATCTAAACTTTTATGAAATAATGAATCATACTCTTATATTTATACAATAGGATGCAGAATACAAGAAATGTATGAGTCTTGTGTGTTCATAAAGTAAGGGGAAAACACATAATTTTCACTTCTATTCTTTGAAGGTACTGAATGGACTTAACCTGACAGTGAAATCTGGTCAGACAGTTGCACTGGTAGGACAAAGTGGGTGTGGTAAAAGTACAATGGTGCAGCTGCTGCAGAGACTGTATGATCCACAAGATGGAGAGGTAATTATATTTTCTGGTTCTTTTTTTTTTTTTTTTTTTTTAATAGGGCTAATTTAGACAGGAGCCAATTAACTTACTAGCATGTCTTTAGCGTATGGGAAGAAGCCCATGCAGGAACAAGGAGGACATACAAATTCCAGGCAGGTGATGCCATAGGTGGGATTCAAACCAACAACCCTAGTGCTGCCAGTGCCAGGCAGAGGTGCTAACCACTTAGCCACTGTGCTACCCCAGTAATTATGTTTTATACATTCAAAAAGGAACCTTATTTGTACACAACATTAATTTAACGCGTGTAAATCTGAAAAGCTCAGGGCAACCTCTTTCTAAACTTACTCCCATTTAGCATTTATTCACCTTCACTGTGTTCCCACACCAGTAATTGCTAAGCCAGAACAATGTGATGTGAGGGAGGGTGATGATGTAATTATTCCTGTGTTAGAACCTCCTGATATGGACCTTACACAGGAGTTGTCTCCTAGTGGAACAGAGGTAAGTAGCAGCGGAGGACTGACCATTCGAGCACTCGGGCACTGCCCGAGGGCCTGGGGTCAGTAGGGGGCCCCATGAAATGCCCCTGGTACCTTTTTTATAGGCTTTTTTGAGTGTGGACAAGGAAACAGGGGCCCCATGATCCCCTATTGCCCGGGGCCCCATGAGTTGTCAGTCCGCCCCTGAGTAGTAGATATACAGCTGATTTACACATGTGTGGTGTGGATTGAAGCTCAGATTTCACAGCAAATTGATTCAGATGTTGTTCACCACTTCATGTCAAGTTCAGGACAGGATAAGGTCAGGATCTTATCCTGTTCACACATATGCAGTTTAGAAACAATTTTCATAGAAGTCAATAGCCTGTAATCCACACCTGAACCGGACTGCACTGCTCAGAACATCTTACATGACTCTTTTTAAACCCGCACTCAATCCGCACCACCAGTGCACTGGACATACAGTATGTGAACAGGCATAGTAAGCAATGTTTATTCACATGTTATGCGTATTGGATACGGTTCAAAACGCATCCAATTCGCATATATGTGAACCAGCACTTAGAGATGGGGTAGCAAGAGATCCTCTTATACATTGAAACCGGCTACTTGGAGTCATCCATTGGAACAATTCTTTATTGGCTTCATAGCAGGGTACAGTAATAACATACTAACGTGTTTCAGCTGAAGCCTTACTTATAGCATGGCTCCAATGGATGTTATAGAGTATCCAGCTTCATTGTATTAGAGGATTATTGCTACATTTCAAGGCCAGAGCTCCGGTTTTGCAGTCTCCCAGATAATCCACAGTACAGCATGTTTTCTTTGTGGGGTTGCAACCATAGACAAAGTGACAGGGTCTCTTTGAAGCCCAATAAAAATAGTTTAATAATAATAATTTTAGGGCAAGGTTAAAATCTCTGTTAAGTTTTCATTGCTGTATGTTAAAACTGAAGTTTAGGTATGAATATTTATCTAGTCATCTTGGACTAATGTATAGTAAGTATTTCATGTGTCATACTTGGAAGATCCCCATGCAAGCTAGAATACACTGTAGTAGATACACATACTAAAGTGATTGCTGCTATCTTCCGGGTCTCATTCTAAGTGGTTGTCACTAGGGTTGGTGTCACCTGGTGCGATAAAATATGGTGTCACCCCCCCCCAATAATATTTTGGGCCGGCAGTGCATGGTCACAGTGTGCACCCCAATCTGGTCCCTGTAAATGATGCGGTTGGTGCCGGCCACTGGGCAGTATAAGATCATGGGGCCCCCTGTGGCCCTGCCATATGACCCTGCCCATGTCTCCCTGCCTACACACAAGCCACACCCACTGAGTGGCAGTGTACAGATGTCAGTGTTATGTATAGCATTAGGTTTACAGCTAACACTGATATCTGTACACTGAGTGCTATTCCCTATATATAACACTGATATCTCTACACTGAGTTCTATTCCCTACATATAAGCACTCAGTGTACAGATATCAGTGTTATTTACAGGTAATGGCACTTAGGATAGATATCAGTGTCATATATAACACTAATATCTGTAAACTGAGTGCTATTTCCTTTATATAGCACTGATATCTGTACACTGAGTGCTATTCCCTATATATAACACTGATATCTCTACACTGAGTTCTATTCCCTACATATAAGCACTCAGTGTACAGATATCAGTGTTATTTACAGGTAATGGCACTTAGTGTAGATATCAGTGTCATATATAACACTAATATCTGTAAACTGAGTGCTATTTCCTATATATAACACTGGTATCTGTACACTGAGTTGCACTACTGACAGTGTATAGAGATCAGGAGATTATTAGAAATAGGGAATAGCACCTGGTGTGTGGACACTGGGCAGAAAAAACTCGGAATGACTGTCAGAGATTACAGCAGAGTGACACTACTAGCTGCTGGGCTGGCTATCATCACTGTCAATGTTACTGACCTGCTGCACACAATGTAGGTTGCTCCGCACAATGAGTCCCCTGTGCAGTGTACTCTGTGCCACCTTCAGCTAAGTTCAGCACTCACTGACATGATGTTCCCTGCAGCGGGGATATGGTCTGTGGCCCCGCCCCTCCATTGAAATCCCCAGGAGGTGAAGTGGCCAGAGCAGCTGTTGGTGCCTTCGTCTCCATGGCTCCACCATCCCTCTATCATCCCAGCCAGAACCTGATAATCTGCTGGCACCTCCAGGGGCAGACTGAGTCTCTCGTGGGACCCCCTACTGACTCCAAGCCCTGGTGTCACCCCTCTGAGGAGTGTCAACCAGAGGAGCAGTCTGCACCCCCTGCATCCCCATAGCGACTCCACTGAGTGGTTGCTCTACTGCTTAGTGAACACAGAAGGTTGCTAGCTAGGCACAAGTACCATTCCAAGAACACTTTGCATTTCTCAATAAATACAAAGCATTTTCTGATTGGACGAAGTGAAGAGATGATGGGACGTCAGTGTTATGATTTCCATCTCATCCAATCAGAGATTGTTTTTGAATTAACTTAGAAAATGCAAAGTGTTCTTAGAATGGTGCCCGTACCGAGCGAGTGACCTTCTGTGTTCAATAATTAGCAGAGCAGCCACTCGGAACATGACCTGGCAATCAAAAAGGTAGCAGTGATTTCAAGCTTCCACAGGGATCTTCCAGGTATGACACGTGCATAGTTACATTGATCTCAGCTGAACTATGCAAAAATATGCATACCTAAATTTCAGCTTTAAAGTTTAAGTTCACCTTTACAGAAAAAAGGGAAACATTAACTAACATCCTCCCCACCCCCTGGTCACTGCTGCAGATGACAGCTCTGATCAGCCAAAACTGTCTTGGTGTCCCTAGGGAAAGAAAAGGAAAAACAGTTCATTTTTCAAACCCTGCAAGGGGGGGGGGGGGGGGGTATTGGCTCACCTTTTCATTTTTTCTGTACAGGTGAACTTACACTTTAGGCTTCTTTTGATTTTTTCCCTCACCTATTTTTCTATGTGACATTTCTTACCTGGAATAGGAAGTGAAGCCGATAGAGGTTCTTTCCCTTTCCCATCATATAAATACTAGTAATATTGTATGTCATATTTAGTGAATAATAGATGATAATATTTAAATGATACCCATTATGCACTACATGTGCAGGTATGTTTTTTTTAACCTGTATTACTTATGTATTTTATCTTGTCTGTTTTTTTCAGATTTTGGTTGATGGCCATGATATACGGTCTCTGAATATTAAACGGTACAGAGAATTAATCGGTGTGGTCAGCCAAGAGCCTGTACTTTTTGGAACCACAATTAAAAACAACATTAAGTATGGAAGGTTAGATGTGACCGATGAAGAAATTGAGAGGGCAGCTAAAGAAGCCAATGCCTATGACTTCATTATGGAGCTTCCTGATGTACGTATCTGCAGACTAAAACAATTGCTGGTCATAAATATATCCATTGTAGCAAGTCATTCTATTAAATACAAATGTTGCTTGTCATTATGAGTATATTGCTAATATCATAAAAAAGGTAATGGTCATAAAATCTGTGTATGGCACCAGCACCATCAGTAAGGATTTTGTTAGGTGTTGCTCTTAGAAGCCTTTTTTTTTTTGGAGTAGATGTCTCTCTAATCCTTATATGTGCACCTGGGCTGGGAAATAATTTCAAGCCATATTACTAATTTATAAACAAAATGAGAATCTAAATTTCATTGCCTCCTTTCACTATAAGATAATTAAAGGAAAATGCCTATAGGGCAGTATGGTCAACAGAAATAATTCTTCACTCAGACTCTGGGGTTGATTTTCTTAAAACTGTATGAAACCCAAAATAAATAATGTAATATATTGCCACTTAACAATCCTTGTATAGCGGCTGTATAGGTTTTCTTTTTTAGACCTTTTTCCTGTTTTTACCTGGTGATTCAGACAGTAACTTACCTGCTGTATTACAGTGCCTACACTCTGGATGAAGAAGCACAGAGACAACTTTGGACAACAAAATTTTTAATCTGGGAGAGGGAAGTTTTAGATGGATTATCATATTTTAATACACTAACAAATTGAAGCCAAATCCCAGCTCACACTTTTTAAGGAGTTACAGCAACAGTGTTTTTTTTCTTGTGGGATAAAGGTTTTACATAAATGAATAAAAGCTGATGATTGTAAGCACCCCTGTCAGTGGTAAATTGTTTGTCTCAACCCTCTAACTGCTACATTGCCGATCAGCTTGGCCTGTTGAAAAAAGACTTACCAGTGAAATCACCAGGTGAAAATAATGGAAAGGAAGCCTAAAAAAACTAATGCAGCCACCAAAATACAGTTGCAAGAAAAAGTATGTGAATTGGGAATACGTGGAGTTTTGCATGAATTGGGCAAAAAAATTTGCTCTGAACGTCATCTAAGTCACAACAATAGAAGAACTTAGTTTAGTGAAATAATACTACACAAACATTAGATGTTGCCATATTTGATTGCACCCAAACATGTAAAAATAAATGATGAAAAGGGCTTTTGCTTGCACAAAATTGGATGGTTGACGTGAACCTAGCTTCAGCTTATTTTAAAGCAAAACCTTTTAAAATAACCTCAAACGTTTCCTGTAGTTGCAGATCAGACTTTGAAACAAACGATCTGAGTCATTTTGGACCATTCCTCTTCATAAAACTGTTTCATGTTGTAGCAATATTCTTGGGATGTATGGTGTGGAATCGCACTTTAGGTCTATGTCCAAGCATTTCAATGCAGAAAAAATAAAAGGTCAGGACTCTGATAGTGATCAAATGACATGAAGGCGTATTTTGAATTGCTATTGAAGCCTCCGTGATTTACTAAAATAATGTGTGATTGAAAAATAATTATAACTTCACTTTAAAAAATTATTCAAATGATCAATGTGCATAAATTAATAAATGCATATGTGAAAACAGTGTCCCATATAATAAAAGTGACTTTGTGCTGTTAATTAATTTCAATCCATCATTGCATGTGAATCCGTGACTGATTGTGAATCCTCCCATTAGTGCAGATGTACGCTCACCTCCTTCTCTGCCTATAATTAGGCTGCTGCCTTTTTTTCTCCACCACAGTGTTGTGTGTTCATCCATGCGCTTTTGGCCTTTTTTTCTCCTCCTATGGAACCTACTTGACTAGGACTCCCTCCTTTGGAACAATGGATATCCGCCGCTATTAGCATATGCTGTGGGATTGATCCCGTCTCCAGAGGATACAACTCCTCTATACTCTCATCTCCATACGGCTCTCCACATAGGAAAAAGATCTCAACATGGTGTTTTATCCCGGAAAGATGAGACTGCCTACAGGAGCCACAAGACCAATTGGGTGTGAGAGCCACACTCCGATCACCGACCTGCACTCCCGATGACGCTGCTGGCTGCACTCGGAGTCTCCGCACAAGCTACCCTGAAAGCCGGCTGATCCTGGCTTTCAGGGTAGCTTGTGTGCGGAGACTCCGAGTGCAGCCAGCAGCGGATCGGGAGTGCAGGTCGGTGATCGGAGTGTGGTTCTCACACCCAATTGGTCTTGGTGGCTCCTGTAGGCAGTCTCATCTTTCCGGGATAAAACACCATGTTGAGATCTTTTTCCTATGTGGAGATCTGTTTACATGCCGTATGGAGATGAGAGTATAGAGGAGTTGTATCCTCTGGAGACGGGATCAATCCCACAGCATATGCTAATAGCGGCGGATATCCATGTGTTCCAAGGGAGGACAGTCCTAGTCAAGTAGGTTCCATAGGACTGATTGGAGAACCAAAAGCGCATATAGCCTAATTATAGCTCTGAGAAGGAGGTGAGCGTACATTGCACTAATAGGATTCACAACTTTCAGTCACGGATTCACATGCAATATGGATTGAAGATTAATTAACAGCACAAAGTCACTTTTATTATATGGACACTGTTTTCACATATGCATTTATTATTTTATGCACATTGATCATTTGAATAATTTTTTATAAGTGAAGTTATATTTATTTTCAATCACAGGCATATTTTAGTATAATCACGGAGGTTTCTTTTAATATCAATTCAGTAATTTTTCATGTCATTTGATCTTTTATATATATATATTTTTTTTTTTCTGCATATGGTTCTTAGGACATAGATAAAGTGATTCCATATATAAATTAAAGGAGTTTTGGGAGCGCAACATTATAGGATTTTATTCACATTTTTTTCACATTGGTAGTTATGTGTTAGATGTTTGCGATCCGACTATATAAGGACATATATTTTATGTTGTATATTAAGGAGACATTTTTTGTTTTCTGGCTCGCAAGACACTTTAAATATTTTCCATTGCTGTTGATTTATAAAAAAAAAACTGAAGCAAACAACAAATAGGGGTGTTGCCGATATTTTTGTAACTTTGCATGTACTTTAGTGTACCTGAAAGGTCCTTCTACCTGAAGTCTCCTTTTTGTAGTTTATTGTTTTGTTCTCATTCTCTTTTCTTCAGGGAAATTAAGCATATATGTCGCTACAGTCAACATTTTTTTGTTACAGTTGCACATCATAATGAAACAACATCATTACAAAACAATTTAATGTTATCTCATTCTTTTTTTTTTAGAAACTTGAAACCTTAGTTGGAGAAAGAGGAGCCCAGCTAAGTGGTGGCCAAAAGCAGAGAATAGCTATAGCTAGAGCCTTGGTCCGAAATCCTAAAATACTCTTACTGGATGAGGCTACTTCAGCTCTGGATACTGAGAGTGAATCAGTTGTACAAGCTGCCCTAGACAAGGTAGAATTTCCTTGTGATTTCACTGTGATGTTCTACAGAGTTACCTCCATCATTCTTTACAGTTTCCAATTGTGACAATCTTTTTCAGGCTAGTGAGGGTCGTACTACAATTGTCATTGCCCATCGTTTGAGCACTGTGTGGGCAGCAGATCTCATTGTTTTGTTGGAGAATGGTGCTTTGGCTGAAAAAGGAACTCATTCTGAATTAATGGAAAATAAAGGAATATATCATTCACTCGCAACAGCTCAGGTACTGTGAATTACTAGCCTAAGATTCTCAAGCCAAATGGCAGAGGAAATGTTGGGCAATGCCTTCTTTCAAATATAATGACAATCCCTCCACTTCTGTAATTATTTTTCAGTCCATACAGACAACAGAAGAAAGTGAAATGGGACAAGAGACTCCGGAGAAGCCATCTTTAGTACAGAGGATACATTCCAATATGTCAACTGGAAAATTTTCCATGTCTGAAAATGAGGAGGAAGTTGTTTTTTCAGAGGATGAAGAGGAGGTAATACAAGCTTTTTATATAGAAATTTAAAGTAGTCAAACCGATAGCTTTGCCAGAAATGGTATAACGAATACTTTCCATGCCGAAAAGTGATTTCCAAATGTATTTTTAGCTCTAGAGAATTAGGTATCCTTCAACCAAAATACCACTAGCAGGAGTTCCAACTCTTCTCCAATCAGCTAAAAAAGTTGTTTTACTGCTGTTTGTGCTCTCATTCAAGAGATTTTCCGTTAATACCAAGACTGATAATTTGGAAAAATTTTCACAGTGGGGATACAAGCAGCACAAAAAAAAAAAGTTTATGCCCTGATCTATTCCAAAGTAAACTAAAAAAACCTAGTTCAAGCCTGGCTCAACTACTGTTCGAGATGAGCTCAAGGTTCGGTCCAAACTTCTTTATGAACTCCTGAATATATATCCCTTCGGTGGGAGCTGAACATCATGTATAATAGAGGCAGTTGCTTCAGGGGGGAACATATCTACATGGGAGACACATCTTGCCGCTACACCACTGTCACCCCAAATAGGTTGCATTCCGATGATCCCCGCAGGATCGTCGGCATGCAACCTATACAGGGTGACATCGGACCTGCTCCAAGAAAAGGTAAGTTGTAAAGAAAGCCGATGATCCCCGCAGTTGCTTTACAACTTACCTTTTTGATGAGCGGGTTCGGTGTCACCCGGTGCGGACCGCACCCCCCCGCACCTGCCTCGGGACGCCACTGATTACCACGGCTATTATACATGATGGCTTCCTATTGGTAAAGATGCTGGTGGGTGCAGTCACAGCCAACCCCCAACCAGGACCTCAACAATGCCAGATTATAGTTCTAACCATAAATACTATTCTTATGGCTTTTGCTTTTGCTGTTTTCCTTTTTCTTCCAGAAAAAGCTTCCAAAAATTTCGTTTTTCAGACTACTTAAACTGAATAAATCAGAGTGGCCTTACATCTTGTTTGGAACCCTTGCAGCGGCCATAAATGGAGGGGGCCATCCAGCATTCTGCATTTTATTTGCCAAAGTCATAACCGTAAGTATGTTTACATCAAAGTATATTAAAGCTAGCATTACCATAGATAATTACGGATGGTAATATAATATATCCCTTTCCTTGCATTTCTTTTTTTTTTAAACAGCAAGTGCTAAAATATTTGTGAATCGTTTCAACTTCCCTCCATCTTTTTTGACTGCTTCCTCTTGCTACAGGCAGCTGCAGAGGCACAAACTGTGCAGAGGAAGCAAATCAGTTCCAATGATTTGAACAGATTCTGTCCCTGAATTAAATTATTTACACTATTTCATGATCAGTTTAAAGCTGACCCTACATTAAAGCAGGATTAAACCCAAATGCAAACATTTACTGTGTTGCAGCTTACCAATTCCTAAATGCGGTGGTTACATTCGTTTTCTGTTTTTTAGGCCTTCTTTCCTTTGTCACCTGGTGATCCTGGCAGTATATCTGTTATTTTTTTCAACAGAACAAGCTGCCTGACAAATGGAGCAGTTAGAGGGTTGAAACAAACCATTTCTCACTGGAAGGGATGATAAGCTTTTATTCATTTCTATAAAACCTTTATGCCAAAAGAAAAAAATGTTGCCATAACTGCTTATAAAGTGTTAGCTGGGGTCTGGCTTTGGTTTGTTAGTGCATCTAAATCTGCTAGTACATATATGGTGCTTTGAAAAAGTATTCATACACTTTGAAATTTTCATTTTGACATTTTGTCATGTTACAACCAAAAATGTAAATGTATTTTATTAGGATTTTATGTGATAGACCAACACAAAGTGGCACATAATTTTGAAGTGGAAGGAAAATGATAAATGGTTTTCAAAATTCTTTACAAATAAATATCTGAAAAGTATGGTGTGCATTTGTATTCAGCCCCCTTTACTCTGATACCCTAACTAACTAGAGAAAGAATTCACAGCATTGCACTACAATTAAAATTTAAAAAAAAAATGTGCAGGGTCCTCCCTCTTATCCATACCAAGCCCTTTGGGTCTGGTATGGATTTTGAGGGGAACCCCCACGCCAAAATTAAAGAAAAAAATGGCTTGGGGGTCCCCCCAAAATCCATACCAGACCCTTATCTGAGCATGCAGCCTGGCAACCATACCAGGCCACATGCCTTCAACATGGGGGGGTGCTTCAAATGTTTGGAGTTGCAAGCATGTTTTGCAGCAAAATGGATGGATACATTATGTTTTTAAAACCTTTTTTTGTTCTCCCAACATATTACATAGGGCAACTGCATTCTAACACATACACTACCATTTTGCACAGCATGTGACACTTGTGATCTGGTATTCTTTCCCAGTACTGATAGGTTGGAAACTCATTTTGGACTTTCCTGTTCTATAGCTATTCCACAATAACAAATCCTTTTATATTCGCAAACCAATTTTTTGGAATTTGTTCATCCTTCACATAACTTTTTACAACCTGTTGTCTAATTGATCTTTTTTTCCTTTAGATAAATTTTGGTTTGTTTGTTAACACTTTATTCAAAACCTCGTCTCCTTGTAAAATATGAGTTTTTTTTTTTATTATTTTATTTATATCCTCAATTCCTTTTCCTTAGTCTGTAATAAAGGCTACACTGTTGTCTATGGCTTGTTCTCTTTTCTCCCTTTCTTTCAGTAATTCCTGTCTATCTCTCTCTGTTGCCTCCCTGAAAGCTTTCTTCACTACTTTATCACTGTATACTTTTCTCCAAGAACTTTCTAGGCATCTCTTCCCCTTGTAGCTTGAATGTCTCTAAGTCAATGCAATTCTGTTTTAAACGTACAAATTGCTCTTTTGAAATATTATCAATCCATCTTTCGAAATGACAGCTTTTGGCATTCAACAAACCATTATAATTTGTTGGTTTATGAAAAATTCAGGTTCTGAAACCAAATAAACTTTTTTCATTTTTATGGTTCCATGTTTGAATGGTGACATATTTCTGCGACAGCAACCACTCACATTGAAAAAAAGACTGTATATATAAAGGATAAGAAAAAAGAGGTTGTTTATTTATTTATTTGTGTCCAAGCCTATAGCCAGGGGCTGTTTTTGCATCTCATCATATATGTCAGAGTACACAGTGTTGTATAAAGAGCAGGAAAAATGGTTGTTAAACCTATATGTTTTTTTTGTGTAGATAAGATCAGGGATCACTTTGAATATCTGAATAATCAGAATACACAGTGATTTGTGCAACATAAGAGAGGTGATTTCTAAAGCTATAGGTGGTATCACTATTACTTGCAAAGATGGTGGTTATTTTGTTAGTATAGGAATCGGACCGGATGCAGGCTGGTGTAAACGGACACTTTATTCCATTTTACATCCACCACTCCATATGGATGGTCTAATCAGGTCTGTCTGAAAAATGGGCAGACAGACCCGATCGGTCAACCCATGTGAAACAGGCCTTATAATGTTATCAAAGGGGAAAATTGTGTATTTGGTAAGTGCTGTGTATTGCCATTTTAGGAAAAGTTTATTGTAAAACTTTGTAAGCAATCTTGTCAGTCTTTTCAACCCATCATCTGTGAAACATGTGGAGGCCAACCCTTTTTGTTTTGTCATGTATGATCTCAATACATTTATATTTTTTATTGGATGCTTTTATCTGTTAATAGAATTGGGCCTTTTAATGTAAGTAAGTAGAAAGTAAAGTATTGAAGCTATAGGCTCAAAAATGGGAACCTTAATAATTTTTTTTAGTACATGTTTTCTTTAAAATGCAATAATTTAGTAAACCTGCCTTAACTGAGTATACATTGCTCTGTAGTCACAAACTGTGTTTGGAAATTATTTTAGAATTATCATATGAGTTGAGTATTATTTCTTTTTTAGCAGTTTTTTATTGACACGTTCTATATTAACTATTTTTAACTTTCTAACAGATATTTGGAACGAATGATGATGTATGGATCCAGCATCAAATTAACATTTACTGCCTTATACTTACCATGATTGGTGTGGCATCCTTCTTTACATACTTTACACAGGTAAACACATTTATCATCGGAATCAAATGTGGGAAATGTGTGTGAATGTTTAGAATGTATTGTGTACAATCTTAGGGGGAATTGAATTATACAGAATGGATGATTCTCAAAAAAAATAAATCACTTCCTCCATGGTGTGTACCTCTCCAGGATAGGAGGTTGTAACATCACAATGACCTCACTTCCTCTTCCACAAAGTAAGATGGGATTGTTTTATGTAACAGATAAGATTAGCTGGTATATGGTGCATATGGGGGGAATCACCTCCCTTCCTCATTACTGAGGGTGTTGATCCCTCAAAAAGGGAAAGGTTGGCAAATTTCAGAAATGTAAGTAATAAAGATACATACACAGCAGCTAAAATCTCAAGCTGGCCAGATTGTTAGACTTACTACTGATTACCTACACAGGTTTAAAATTATACACTATATAATAGAGCCTGTCCCCAAAAAATTCTAAAACGTTTCTCAGTCCTGTCCTGGAGTAAAGTCAGAGATCCCAAGCTTTCAGACTCTCTATTCTCCTTGGTATCCTCCTCATCTGTTGCTATAACCTGTACCTCCTCCGTCCACTGTTGTAGAGAGCTAGAGGATAGGACTGCTCCCAATTCTGAAGGAATTCTTCTCCTGTCAGGTTGCTATTTCATTGCTTATATTGTATATTATATTGTACATTATCTTATATTGTATAATATCTTATGGATAAGAGTTATTTCTTTGACCAAATTTGACTAGAGAGAACTTTGGTATCTGACTGAGTGTGTGTCACATATGTATGTGTTCTGGTTTATTGCTTGCATTCTTGTAAATTAATTTTAAAAATGCAATAACAAACACCTTTTAGGCCCTGTTCACATATGTTGTGGTGACCTGCATTTTTCCTGCACTAGGTAAATGCAGGTCACCTATAGGACACATAGAAAACAATTGTTCTCTATGTGTCCTGTTCACACTGGAGTACACCCCAGAAGTGAGGTACAGTGAGCTGCGAAAAAATGCAGACATGTTGAATTTTATCAAAGCATACACAAAGGGATCACATGTCACTGTACAGCAGCACAACTGTGCTGCACTGCTGTACAGTGGCATGAATAAAGTGTCTCACTTTGGGCACCGCTGCGGTTTTGTGTGAGGGACAGTGTGAATAAGCACTAAAAAAAAACATTCTCAAGCTGACAATTTGAGCGACAGGATTGTTTGATGAAAAAGAGATGAGTTGAAAGTTAGGAGTGACTGGAACAAATTGAAATACATTTCTCCTATCAGTAAGTATGATGTGAAAGTGGGTAGAGGAAATATTTGGCAAAATTCAGTTACTCCATCTATCATATCATATTCTCTATTTCCATCTGCATTGCCAGGGATTTATGTTTGGAAGATCAGGGGAAGTCCTCACTATGCGCCTGAGACAGATGGCATTCAAAGTAATGTTGCGCCAGGTTAGTGTGGAACTAATAGATGTTTTATCTGTACATGTAAACTATCTATTTATATAGGTGAAACTATACTTTTTTTCTCTACAAAGGAAATATCCTGGTTTGATAACAAGAAAAACAACACAGGAGCTTTGACAACCCAACTTGCCACTGATGCTGCTCAGATACAAACTGTAAGATTGCTATATCTGCTTTTTAATTATTAATCTATACATGATCTGTGATAAGATGGACATATTGCACTAATGATTATCTTTTTCATTGTTTCAACTTTAGTAGGTATATAATATACTATAATTAGATATAATATAAGTAAGATTACAGGGCACTCACAGGTTTTACAACAAAGACAGCTTATCATAGTGCAATATAATCTTATGGTGTATGGATATAGATTATAAACAAATGGTTTTTCACATATTCAATTGTTTTATTAAACTTTATTAATGATTGTACAGATTACACTGTTCAACAAATTTTTTATTTTTTTGCCAGTTTTGGAAAACAAAAGGATCCATTTCTTAATGAATTTCACATTCTGAGTTCAAATATAACAATGAAATTTGTCAATTGGCTCTAGTTTTTCTGTAAACGGAAAGTTTTCTACTATAGGCGTAATGACTACATATGCACAATAATTATATAGATAGATGTCTTTCCACAAATATAAAGCAAGTGATATTGACTACATAACAAAGCCTAAATGGCATAATATATTGCATAGGATTACCAAGAAAAATTATAGCCATAAGCTAAGTTGAATCATTTTAATACTTAGGATTCTCACTAGTTTTGTCTTCAGTTTGTGTCGGTTTTGCTTCTCTTGGCTTTTCTCTTGTATTCGAGGAAAGGGCTATCTCTTACAACTGCACGTGACTACACGCTTCAGGTTCTTCCTCACTTGACTCAACCACGAAGGATTCTGGGCTTTAGGAATTGGTAGCCCCTCTCCATGAGGAACTGGATGTATTGCCGATGGAATATTTGGGATAGTGCACAGATAACTTTTTCTTCTTATTTAGCCCTTTTACAATTGGAGGCACCATACAAAAGTAACAATTACTAACATGATCTGTTGGCTCTCTCCAAATCATTGGCACAGCGAAAGGCATAGATGCCTTTTTTCCATTCAACCATTGCTCCAGTGCCGTCCCACAAGAATTGCAGCATATATGTGGTGCCCATCTCTTGTCCTGGTCTCCTATCTTGCAGCCAAAATACAAGTTGTAGGCTTTCTTAATCATTCCTGTTATCCTCCTTTTTTGTGAGATAAAAGTTATTTCACCGCAGATATAGCAGAAATTATCTGCTTTATTCACACAAGTTCGAGGCATTACTGAGTAGCCTATATAAGCATAAAACGAAATGTAAAGACGCTGTCGAACTACAATCAGCTACAGATACTGCAGCTTTTATGCAGTGAAGTGATGCAATTAAAGGCTAATATTGCATCATCTCAGTATACATGCAATTTTCTATTGGTCACCAGTATCAATTGCGCAATATGCAGCTGAAGTTGCATCATAATTTTGAATGGCTTACGTCATTAGATGGGTGAATATATCATGGAAACTAGAGCCAATCAACATTTTTTAGGGTCATTTTCATTTTCAGCACCCCAAAATTATGTAAGATTAGCTAATTTTATGCCCAAAACTTTTTACCTGTTGAACAGTGTTATCGAAGTATGTTATTGCAAATATTTTCTATAACTATTTTTATATATAACATGCCAACCATACTCATGAGATTTGATTTAGGATTTTATATTTTGAATATGTATGCTATTGATCATAATTATTTTTTTTTTTCCCTTAGGCAACTGGCCCCAGACTTGGCTTAATTGCAGAAAACTTTGCTTGCATGGTTCTCTGCATTGTAATTGCTCTAGTTTTTGGCTGGGAGTTGTCCTTGCTGGTTCTAGCACTTACTCCTGTTCTTCTTACTTCTGGATTTCTTGAGTTCAGAGCACTGACTGGCTTTGCTAATCGGAATAAAAAGAACTTCAGCAAGCTGGAAAGGTAATGGTATACATGTTTTATTGTCATTTATAGGCAGCAAGTCTCAAATTTGATCACACGTATTTTAAATTAGTCAAGGTGCAGTTGCACTGTTTGCTTTTGCAGTTTCGGGTTCTAGTAATCCTGCCATTAAATCTGCAGTCTTACAATTTAGAATAAGCTTTCTATAAAGTGAATTAATTGCTGCTTAATATTAAAATAAAGAGGGTAGCTTTCAACCCAATTAAAATGTGAAATGTGTATTTCAAGTAAGCCTGTGAAAACATGGGCATTTCATACTACATGAATTTATGAATAAAAATGTATTAGGAGAGATTACATAGCTAAATCTATAGATGATTGTTACAGGGGAGTACTGGGAACCTTTGGCCTCGAGACAAACACAACCAAAAGACCCTTTCATGGTAGAGACAGATTTCTGTGGAGTAAAGAAAGTGTATTATTCAAAGTTTGCAATAGTGCTAAATTGAATGGTGGAGCATGCTGAAAGGTAGTTCTAAAATGTCATATTTTATTGTCATACACAATTTCACATCTTCTACCATCAGCTTCTTTTGAGGTTATCAGCACTCAGTTAGATGACCACTACCTGCCTGGAGTTTGTATGTTCTCCCTGTGCATGCGTGGGTTTCCTCCGGGTACTCCGGTTTCCTCCCACTCTCCAAAGACATACTAGTAGGTTAATTGACTCCTGTCTAAATTGGTCCTAATATGTGTATGCATGGATGTGAGTGAGGGACCTTAGATTGTACGCTCCTTGAGGGTTAGGGACAGATGTGAATGTAGGGTTAGGGACTGATGTGAATGTACAATATATATGTAAAGCGCTGCGTAAATTGACGGCGCTATATAAGTACCTGAAATAAATAATAAATAAATAAATCTCAGAGCCACAAAGATAGTCGTTACTGGAAGACCTGTTTTGCCAATGCTGTGATAATCAGAATGGGAGGAGGGATGCTTGATAATCAGAATGGGAGGAGGGTTGCTTTATAGCATGCAGGGTTACCATTAGTAATCATGGGGCCCCATACAGCTTACCTGACAAAGCCTTCCTTCCCACAGGGAGGTCAAAATTAGGAGACACCCTTTGGAAGAGAAAAACAGAGTGTCACACTTAGCATGCCTCAGCAAAATATAGGTTTGGCATTTTATTGGGTATAACTAAAGGCTCCAGCTTGAAGTTTATTCTATAGGGTTGGCAAAGATTCAATCAGTGCAGGGTGGTGTATATTATTAAACACTGTAGCCTTTAGTTGATGAGTATCAGGATTGCTTTACTTCATACCATCATTTCCCCCTCTGGTTCTGTCATCCTTAATCTTTTTTTACTATTGAATGACTGAACTAGAACATGAAAATGTAGATCAGGTGTCCAAACCCCTAACATGCACATAGTTGTTGTGGGTCAATGACTCACCAAGAGATGAAAGAAGAATTGGTAGAAGAGCCCAGGAACTTTCAAAAACAAGTTAACAATGACTGCTGAGATTTCTCTCCTGTGACCAGGACATACTTCTTGAAACCCTAACTTCCTGCAGAGGTTGTTTAGGGTTTTCTTAAATGGTGGCTGATTGACCTCCCATTTGATGGTACCTGCAGAGTTCCAAGTTCAATGACACTTGAAAAGTCAGCAGCGTGACACCAGTGGTCCTTTTAGCTGTCTGACCCACACTGTAAGAAAGGGTAGGCATTCTTTCCATTGACCGCCAAGGTTCCTCAAGGGTAAAAATGTTGAGAAAGGATATCCTAATGGCGTTTTGATTACCTTGAAGTGGAGAAAAGACTTTAGATATATTTGGCCTTTTACCATACACACAAAGATTTAACTGACAGTACAATATGTGTTTTGATGTGTGCTGACCTAGGTCGTGGTTTATGTTGGCTGGAAATCCAGCCCTACTTATAGGCAGATATAAGGCTTATTTTTGTCATTCCTGCTAACAGTTTGGTATTTGTAAAGTAAAGAAAGGTTTCCTTGATCACCACTGTCCTATTGTGTCATTTGTAAGTACAAATGTGCCAAAAACAAGGATTTTTCTAACTATATAACACATCTGTTAAAATAAACAGGCCCAGTCACTAGGAAACATTTATGAGCAGTGGGTTTGTGTTTTCTAGTGCAACAATGAAATCTAATTAACTAATAGCTTCAACAATTTATTTTTGATTGAATGATCAGATTGCAACGGAAGCAGTGGATAACATCCGGACTGTTGTGTCGCTGACTAGAGAAGGAACCTTTGAAGAGATGTACTCCGAAAGCCTACAAAAGCCCTACAGGTCAAATTATTATAATTATTTGATTGTTAGTATTACAGTAAGCATTTTACCTTCTAAAACACAGATGTGTACTCTTAACTCATTCTGGAAGTGCATTATTGACAGGTCACCATTCTTGTGACTGCAAATTCAGGTTGTTGCATCTGAAATTAAATAATTAGTGACCTTCGTTTTAAAAGGGAGGTAGGGTAAGAGAAATCAAGTTATGATTTGCCTCTTTTCATCCAGTAGTTCTTTACTTTCCTGCATGGTTGCAGTCTGTGCTCTATATAAACTTTTCCTGCTGCTCAAATTTCAAGGAAGGCACAAGGTTTCACATATTTACATTCTGACTTGGGCATTCCTTTTGTTTCTAAGTGTTCCTTGTTATTAGAAACTGTATAAAAAGAAGATACCCCCGGGCTCAACAGATTTGATGAACATGCACTGCACAATGCTGGGTCAATTGCAGCAGACATTTTGCTAACTCATTATGCTACTGAATATTGAGTATTCCAAACTTGTCACTATTACAGCAATTAAAAATTTCCTTAAAAGATGACTACATTTTTCATTGTTCCCAATCACATTTTAACGGTCACTTTTTCAACTGATATTTCAGGAACTCTCAGCGTAAAGCTCAAGTGTATGGCTTCTGTTTTGCGTTCAGTCAGTCATTCATACATTTTACCTATGCTATAAGTTACCGTTTTGGGGCATACTTGATTGAAACTGGCAGGATGAATCAAGAAGAAGTATTTCTGTAAGTATTTTATTGCATTTTGTAAATTCCACTATTGATAATTTTTTTTCTATGCTATATTTCATCTGTAGGGAAGGAAACAATGTAAGTCATTACATAAACAGAGTCTGTCCAACTTGGAGAAGGTACATGTGAAAGTTTATCAGTTCATTTAGAATTTTTATGCCTGATCAGAATGTTTGGTTGATAATGAACCAGTGCTAGCCTTTCCCTTACAAAAGCCCTTGGAATTTTCAGAACACCACTAAAACTGCTATATGATTCAGTATTTATACTATACATTCTTCATTGTATAAAGAAAGTACGCTTCTTTTAGATTTTACAGGGTGATTGGATGTGTAAAGTTTATATAAATAGAGAAAAGCAGGAGGAGGAGGAGAAGAGAGGATTCTTTTGGAGCTGGCATATATGCAGGAATAGTACACACTGAAATATATTTGTTAACTTATCTGACTAGTCACTTTTCCTAGCAGTGGCCACCTGAAGGTAGACGTGACTACATATGGGCATAAAATTGTCACTTGAAATGCCAAAAAATGTTTGTCATCTTCTGTCTATTAGTACCTTAATGCCCAAGCTTATATCAACTAAAGTGCTTTCTAGGTGCCTAAAAACAAAAGGTGTGCAAAATCCTACAGTTAACTAGCCACAACCTGAGTAGAAAAGCCTAACCCCTGCCAGTGTGCTGCAAGAAAGGACCCTTGCTTTGAGTGTGGAAGCAGTGGTCTCTCTGTAAAGTTACAAGTCCTCAGCTAAGACAGAACATGAGCTCCCCAATCAGCACTGATCATGAGCTTTTCTGATTGGAGAGCTCTAGCTGTGACTCGGCAAGGGGTGTAATGGACCTTTGTGGAGAGACCACTGCTTCCACACAAAGAGCAAGGATCCTTCTCTATAGCATGCTGGCAGGGGATAATTTTTCTACTCCAACTTTGTTTGTCTTCTAAAAAAACAATTATAAGACTTTCAACACCTTTTTTGTTTTGATGCACCTGTAATGTATTTAGGTGATTTAAGCTGAAAGTTTAACTGGACATTATGGCTGTCAAGATAATAGCTCAGAGCAGAGCAGAGCATTGCAAAAGTGAACCTATGACCAGGATATGGACATTCAAGTGTTTACACATTTTTAACAAGCAGCAAATTAGATTTAAACCCACCTCTTACTGATCTCTGTAACTGCAGGCACCATGACCCAGTTTAAGTTCAAACTTTACAGTTTGAGCTGTTGAAGTTGTTCTCTTAGCAGTTCAGCTTACTTTGGTCCCCCTTCCAAGAGCTTCTGCTCTGTATTTATTTTGAAGATTGAAGGCTGCATAGTCACTGCCAGCAAGGGTGAGCTGGACTTGGACAATATTAGTGCTTCTGTTTGTAAATTTAATGATGAATTGCTTCACAGTGCCTGCAACCAATGAGACCTTGTTTTAAAGTATATTTACTGCACGTTTAGAATATGTAAATACTTGAATCCATAGCCTGACCACAGTTTAATTTCAAGCAAATTGATTCAGTGCAGTGTTACTGTATTTAGCAAGTGATAGTAGAGGGTTAGAAATAACATGGTGTCTAGTAAATTACCACATGGTTCCAATTTCTGTAGCCCAAGAAGTTTGAAAGAAATATTTTGCATATCAATACTATTTATACTAAAATTGTAAAAATAGAGATTATGGTAATGGACAGAATGTGAAGGTAAATGTTTCCATATCTTGTCCAGTTAATGTCCAAGAGATTTCCCATTACTGCCTGTTCTGTCTGACACTCATTAAATAGAAAAGACGTAACATGAAAGCTCCCATTGGAAAGAACGGAGCTCTGTCCAAAAAAAAAAAATGTTTTCTTTGGAGCAGGGTGTCCACAATGGACCACAAAGATTCAGAGACAAGTCATGAAACCTGATTCATTACTTGTCCACCTAATAAAGTTAAATGCATCAGTGGTCTGGTTATTCTCCTTTGTGGTTCTATCCATTATTACCTCTCATTTAACAATGCATGCTAATAATTCTTCGCAGTGTGTTCTCTCTCCTGGCATATGGTGCGACGACCGTAGGGCAAACGTTGTCATTTGCTCCTGACTATGCTGAAGCCAAATCAGCAGCTTCCCACTTGTTTGCATTGTTCAATAGTGAGCCAATTATCGACAGCTACAATGAGCAAGGGCAAAAACTGGTAAGTCATGTAGCCGAAAACGGGAAAATAATTCTTATTCATGACTGTTCTATGGAACAATATTGTCTTACAATTTCTTTTGTTGCTAATAGGAAAAATGGCAAGGAAACTTAGAACTGGGTAAGGTCACCTTTAATTATCCATCACGTCCAGATGTGCCAGTGCTCCAAGAATTGTCGATAAAAATATCCAGTGGAAAAACTGTGGCATTTGTGGGTAGCAGTGGATGTGGGAAAAGTACTTCTATTCAGCTCCTACAGAGGTTCTATGATCCCCTCCACGGGGCAGTGGTGAGACTTGTGACAGAATACTGTTGTTTTCTGAAACACACCTGTCTGGCAGGTCCAGATTTGTAAACTGGAAATTCTGAGATTTCATTTTGGCCCTTACAAATGTTACAGCTAGACCTGACCAAATGTATTCACTTACATAGAAAATATTGTTGTGCACTTCATATACCATAGCTGAGTTTTCCTCCCATTTTTTTTACAGTTCCTTGGGCAGGCTCTTCGTTTCACAGACTGCACTGAAGCCATGCACACAGTGTCTCTGTATCTTGGGTGGTGGACAGGCTCTCCTTCAGCCATGGCTGCAAGAAAAGCTTGTAAAACTCTCTCTCTCTCTCCTCCCTGTGATGCCACTCTGCAATTTTCATGGCCATGATAGCAGCTGCATCCGGGATGGCTGTGTGTGAGTAGCTGTGTATACTGTCACAGCTTGGTCCAGGGAGCTGTGGAGCACCATGGACAGGGGCTACACACAAAAAAAGAAACAACTGAAATTATGATACATTAGTTTTCAGGTCCAAGATTAAAAAAAAAAAAAAAAATACAAGCTCAACTTACCAATTTACTGGTTGCAGGCTGGTTGGTAAGTTGAGCTGGGAATTGTTTCCTGTTGTTGTTTCGACATGTGTTGCCCTTCCATGTCCTCCTTGCTGCAAAGGCCAGTTAGAGCTTGGGGCAGTTGACATTTTTTTGTACTGTTGATATACTGGTGAATGGATGCACTGGACACCTTGGCAGCCATTGTGCTATATGCTGGGTGTCCAGTGCACCCCTTTAGCTTTAAGGGGGGGCTCCCTCCAGGCTTACCTGCCCTCAGTCTATCCATTATTACCTGTGCTCCTATTATGGAGGCTCTCAAAATTTATAGAGGTAGAAACTGCAGAATATTGGAGTGCCGTGAAGGGGCTCTGCAGCTTACGCATGTGTTTTCAAATGTGTGCAAACTAAACCCCTGTTTTTAACGTGAACTATTAGACAGGACAATCCAGTTGGTTGCAGGCTGGTTGGTAAATTGAGCTGGGAATTTTTTTCTGTTGCTGGGAGGGAGTATAGTTCTGTCTCAAAAACGCAATGCCTCTAAACAGCTTTGTTTAGAATCATTTAGTAAACCGTATATATTATTATTAACTTTAATAACATAATTCATGTAATTATTACCAATTCATAATTTTAAAAGCATACAATTTTACTCTCCATTTTCTAGGTTTTTGATAATGTTGATGTGAAAAAACTAAACGTCCAATGGCTCCGATCTCAAATTGGCATTGTGTCTCAGGAACCTGTGCTGTTTGACTGCAGCATTGCTGAAAACATCGCCTATGGGGATAACTCTCGTCTGGTCTCTATGGAGGAAATACAGGAGGCTGCCAGAGCAGCCAATATTCACTCTTTCATAGAACAGCTGCCAGAGGTAAATAATTTTGAACCAAACTGTAATAATAGTTTATGAGATTTTTCCTTTATTCAGGTAAGTCAGAAGTGCAAAACTTTGTTTTCAAATGTAGATGGAAGGCTGGATTTTAAAGCAATGCCTGCCCATAGCCATCATAGGTTGCAGAAGGCCCCCTGCACAAAAGGTAGTTTGGGGCCCCCTTTTCACACTCATCACCAGGGGCGGACTGACAACTCATGGGGCCCCTGGGCAATAGGGGATCATGGGGCCCCTGTATCCTTGCCCAGACTCAAAAAAGCCTATGAAAAAGGTACCAGGGGTATCTCATGGGGCCCCCTACTGACCCCGGGCCCTCGGGCAGTGCCCGAGTTTCCAAATGGTCAGTCTGCCCCTGCTCATCACTGTTGTGCAATGTGAACAAATGCACTGTCAAGAGTCAGTCCCTGACAGGATATGCAAAGTCTGTTGCTATTAGTGCATGTTTCCTAGAATATCCCACCAATAACTTTCCCATTTATTCCTAACCTGCACACTATTGTCACCAGAAACAGACATTACAGTCTGTGACATCATCAGCAATGTTTTGCTGAAGCTCTTGATACAGCTCTATATGAAGAAAGCATCCTTATTGAGGTCTTGTGACTCTACAATAGGGAACAGAAACTTCGTATTGGAGGAGAAAACCTTCATCTGCTCTGTTCACCTGACTTTCCACCCAGCTTTTTGTGTCTCTAGGAATTACAACATGCAGTATCTATGTCCAACACTGGTGCCCTAGCAATTGTCTGGGTGATGGGAAAAAAGATCCTTTCCTAGGCTTTAAGAAACATCTTAAATCTATGTGTTTTATAGTAAAATACTAAATATATCACACAATTCTTATACTGTCTCCAGAAATATAACACACCAGTTGGTGGCAAGGGAACTCAATTGTCAGGAGGTCAGAAGCAAAGAATTGCTATAGCCCGGGCACTTATACGAGCTCCAAAACTATTACTGCTTGATGAAGCCACCTCGGCACTGGACAACGAAAGTGAAAAGGTGAGAATGAAACTTAGCAAATGTTTTTATTATTTTTTTACTGACAAAATGTAATCCTAATTGTACAGTACAAGTAACTTGTTAACACACACCCCCTGGATCTCTGCTCTATAGCCCTACCCCACTCTGCATCATCTGGTGCTAAAATCCAACCAAGTAGAGCACAGTCTCAGATGGATGACCAAGTGTTGCATCACACCACTGATTTCCCTTTTTAAATCTCCGCCTAGAAATCTTATTAGGCACCTCTTCCCTCCCTTTTGCCATGAAGATTCATTGCAGGAAGGTCTACTTCTGGGTTACCATGTACTCCTACTGGACAAACTTATCCTTACTCCCACGCTCTACTTTATGAGTACCCCACAGGGCTATGACAGAGACCAAGTGAAAGGGAGCCAAAAGGCCTATACAACACTCATCTTCAGAGCGGTGATGCATTTTTTGCACAGGAGCAGGAACCAGCCCTAACACTGAGCTCAGAATTCGATTACAGCTCTATTTCAGGCACGCAACAAGCAGTCTATTTAAAAAAAATACAGAATTTTATATCACAATTTCTATGACACATTACCACTTTAATTCTCTCTGGAGCCCTGTCTTTTCTCATGCTCCTGTTTCCCAATCAAAGTCAAACGTTGATATGCAGGCCTAGAGAATGCTGAATCACAGGGGAATGAAGAGGAAGTGGAAGCAGGGTTGATGGAATCTGTAGAAGATTTCTCTCCCCCACGTTGTTATTATATTGAAGAGGAAGCTTCCTTCAATATGCTTGCTGATGGTGATAGACTCATTGTATCTGTCCACAAAAGTCTTGCCATTCTACTAAACTGGCCACTTGGCGGTGGTGAAGGGTGAAATAAAAATGTGGTTCAACCACCTTCTTTTTAGTCTTAGACAGTTGTTCCCAGAACAGGTGTGCCCACTGGAAAATTTCTCATTACCTTTTGTTCTGGGGACAACTTTTAAAATTTTGGATTTCCCTTCAATTACTGTCCCTGTGACAATAATCATCAGACGGAGGGTGTAGCCCAAACACTTTAATATACTTCAGCTTACAAGCCCTTAAAACTGAATACAAGGAATTGGTCACAGCAATCACATGGTAGAAGGCCAATTTAATTGTCCCTGTACACAGCAATTACAGCACATGCTGATGCGTGCCTTATAGGGCGTGCATGAGGAGTGGGAAGACATATAGGTATGTCTCCTCAAATCAAGGTAGCTCCCCCCCAGCTGTATGCAATGGCCTGGTCACAAGTTGTTAATCTAAACTCTAGTAATAATGTCTTGCTCCTGTTTCTGTTTTGGAAGGACAGATCCAATCCTTCTTTCCTCCAATTTTGTCTTTCATTTAGTTCTGATAGTTAGATTTGTATATGTAGTGCTACTCCCGTAGAAGCCACAGGAATACAGTCCAGGTCTTCCCCAAAAGCTTTGCCCGCAGCCAGACTTATATGCTTATTCACACGTTTCTTCAATGAACAGTCTAGGGGTGTTGTTTTTTTTGTTGTTTTTTTTTTTGGAGAAATTGGATAGGGATGGGGAATTAGGTGGAATACTCCAAAAACTGAAACTATGTACAGTTGAGGACTTTAGGTATTCTTTCAGATAAGCTATGATGAAGTCTGTGCTTGAAACAAACAGTAGACTTCAGCTTTAAGGAGGTAGTAGTAGTAGTAGCAAACTAGAGAGGAGACCCTTTAGGTAGATTAAGCTGACAAAGCTCTTTGGGACACCAGCTGATGTCCCCTTCAGCTAGAACCGCGGCTGACTCCCTAGCACCAGAGGGGGTTACGTAGCACACAGTCTCTCAGATCCTTTAGGGGTGTCTGTGTTCACAAGGCCCAAGAGCAGCAGGTTGCCTTCCTCTGTGCTACCAGACCAGCTCGTCAATAAACGGCCCCTTAGTCAGCTTTAGCAGAACTCAGGTTTCAGCATTCAGACCTTCAGGTTGCCCACCTGAGGCCTATGGCAGTAAATCCAGCAGCATTGCCTAGAATGGCAGCATGCCCTCTCCATGCTGGAACAAGGCTATACAGGAAAGACCCAGAGCCCAATGTGACAGAATTTATACAGTTACCCAGCATGCTCTCAGAGCCAGTCTCTCTGGGATAGGCCAGGGCTGTATCAATATTCATACTTCCATCTGCATAGCTCCACACCTATTATCCAGAAACTTCTCAAATTTTCTGGATGCAGAGGGGGCTATCAGCCTAGATGCAGCTGATGACACTGAGCAGACCTAACTAGCAGAACACAGCAGTACTGATTACAGTGTGCAAGTTATGCTTTTACCTAGCAGCAATTACAGCCACAATGTCTACAGTGTGACAACTACTGTATATTTACCTATCAAAATACAAAATAAATCTATCTACACTATATAAACCTAGCACCTATCTAGGAGGGTGCTAAATATAATTAATATCTAATTAGAACATCTAATTAGATTTAATGTATCATGTTTGTTTCTATATTCTAACCTTGACTACAAAATTATGGATTTCTGGATGCTATTAACAAAGAAGTGGAATTTGTTCCGAAGATTTGGAAAAATTCTATTCGCGACGAATCCGAAAATTAGTAAACTTCGGATGCACGAATCGAATTTTCCCAAAAATGGCGGAGACGGAGAAAATGGACAGAGAAGATGGGGCGGGGATCTCTGGGAAGGCGCGCAGACAAGGCGCGCTGACCCATAATGCATTCATGACATGTGATCGCATTAGCCAATCAGCAGCCAGCCAGCACTGTGTAATGGTGGAGCTATAAATCGCGGCCATCTTAGAATTCTCCATTAGCCTCCGGTCATTCAAGAGAGACAGACCTGTGTGTATTAAGGGACAGAGTTAGGGCCACAGAGACTTTAGGGCCACAGAATCGTTACTCAGGGACACAGAATCGTTACTCAGGGACACAGAATCGTTACTCAGGGACACAGCTAGCTATCAAAGAATTGAAAATTTAAAGTGACATACACCCTTTTTTTTTTGGTGGCTGTCGTGCACAGTTGGTGCTGCAGTTTGCCGATTGTGCAAAATAAACTGACTTTCTGCTTCACAAACCACTATTGTACGTTCAAAGAGTTAAATCCATTTACACGCCGGGTGGCGGTAAATATTTTTTGGGTGATTAGTGCATTCCAGTGACACAAACGTACATTTTCCAGCCAACGGCAAGCTGCAATTGACCGATTGTGCTAAATAAACTGACTTTCTGCTTCACAGCCACTATTGTACGTTCAAAGAGTTAAATCCATTTACACGCCGGCTGCGGTAATATTTTTTGGGTGATTAGTGCATTCCAGTGACAGAAACGTACAGTTTCCAGCCAACGGCAAGCTGCAATTGACCGATTTGCTAAATAAACTGACTTTCTGCTTCACAACCACTATGTACGTTCAAAGAGTTAAATCCGTTTATTATTTTTGGGGTGCTTATTGAATTAAAGAGTATGTCAGACAACACGCAGAGACTTTCTTGGCTACAGAGGAGGCAATGTTTCACGAGCGAGCAGACGTGGCAGCAGAGGAAGGGGTCGAGGCAGCACTAGTCCTCAGCCAGAGGCCAGTGCTCCCGGTTTGTCATCCAGCGGTCGTGTCTCCACCGACAACCCTGCCGTCATCGATTGGTTGACTCGGTCGTCTTCCTCTTCCCAGGTCACCTCTGACACCTACAGCCAACGGTCGGTGGGTACGTCAGACACAACCGTTAGTTGGCATGGCCCGGGAGCAAGCCCACTGAAATCACGTGTCCTCGACCTGCCCCTGTCCTTTGGTGTTCCCTCACCAAGCGAAGTATCGCATGCTGTGGGCTCAGCCCCACTATACAGTGAGGAAGAGCTAACAGAGGGCGGTCAGGAACGGGGGGAGACATCCGCCTCTTCAGCAGCCAGGCGAAGAAGTACTGGCGAGGAGCGTGTGGCTCGGTAGCCGGTTAGAGACAGGTCTGTCTCCTGACCCACACGCAGCAGAGGGGGCTAGTAGTGACGCGGAGACCCTAATTGATGATGATGAGGCTGATCGCACTTGGCAGCCTCGTCGTCATCAGGCTATTGCTTCCGCATCATCAGGAGAAGAGGGTGCCAGCTTGCCAGCGAGCAAAACAGTCGGTGGGTTGCCCAGGAGGCAGCAGGGTCGCAGCAGTGTCAGTGGGGCCAAACGGCCACGGAGTAGAGCACCAGCTCCACTGCAGCCTACCACCACGGCCAGTAGTGGTGCCGGTGTGCACGGAGGAAGTAGCTTAGTCAGCCAGTGGGGAGTAGCGGGGCAAAGTTTCCTACTCGCGGTGTGGCAATTTTTTCGTCAAGCCGCCCGAGGAAGTAAACGTAGCCGTATGTCGACTATGTGGCCAGAAAGTCAAGCGTGGCCAGGGGGCCAATGTTGGGACTACAGCGTTGCGTCAGCATATGCAGCGTCGCCATTCGGTGGCTGGGAAAACCGTGATAAAGATACGGCGGTTCTGCCTGCCCCAGCCCCCGCTCCATCACCCGCTCCGTTACTTGCTCCGTCACCCCGACGTCAATCGCCCTCTATCAGCCAGTCAAGGCTCCAACACCTCTGCTGAGGTGAGTTGTCGCTCGTTGGCATCTTCCGCTCGTTCAGAATGCTCCTTCTCCTGCTACTCCTCTTCACGGATTCCGTCAGCAGTCTTTCTTGGAATCCGTTTCCAAGAGACAACAGTTTGCGAGCACGCACCCGACGTGCAGAAGCTGAACGTCCTCCTGTCCAAGTTGCTGGTGCTGCAGTCCCTCCCTTTCCAAGTGGTGGACTCAGCACCTTTCCGAGAAATGATGGCTTGTGCCGAGCCGCGGTGGAGAGTGCCAAGCCGGCATTTCTTCGCCAAAAAGGCAGTGCCAGCCCTGCATTCACATGTAGAAGAGATGTGGTGGGCCAGTCTTTGAGCATGTCGGTCTCTTCCAAAGTGCACGGCAGCGCCGACGTGTGGAGCTGTAACTACGGTCAGGGACAGTACATGTCATTTACGGCCCTCTGGTGTGAA